TTTATCAATTTGAGTTTGGGTTTATTAATAATAAATAATAATTTATTAAGTACGTATACTGCATATCATCTAGATGTTTTTAAATATGACAAATTCTTTTTGTGTGTATTTATTTAAATAGTAAAATTTTTATATACTGCATCTAGAATGTATTTTTATATGATATGTATAAGAAATTCTGACTATACAATATCAATGCAAATAAAAAATTAGGAAGATAAATATACTAATAGTGATTAAATTTTGATTTAACGTTAATATAGTTTATTAATCAATATTGTTATTTGCACTAGTTATATTAAAATAAATTATTTTATTATGCATTTATATGTCAAAATTTAGTGGTTAGAATTATCTGTTTATAACTAAATATTTAGTTTAAAATATCAATCCGATTTACAATAAAAAATATATCAGATTTAAATTTGACTTTGTAAATAAAATCAGATTATCAGTTTTAAACCTGGTTTTTAAATAAGATAGCTATATAATGTAATCACGCTAAAACCAAGAATGTAGATAATAACTTTTGTAATTATATATGCTTCTTTAGTATATTATAAAGCTTTTAATTATATATAGCAATTGAATTAATTTAAAAAAAACAAAAGAATTTTTATATATGTTGTAAGTGGGAATGGAATTAAGTAGATTCAGAATTTCCAAGTTAAATTAAGAGTAGGGTAAGGGTGTATATATGATAAAATCAACCACAAAATACTGGGTTTATATAAAAATTCTATTTCTACTTAATCTTGCTTTCACTTACAACATATATATTGGTCTCAAACACCAATTTAGATAAGATTTTCCAGAGGTCAAAATTGTGCACAAGTATTATGATATTTACCAAAAAGTCACTAATCATATTTACTAATTAGTCATAATAGTAACTAACTGATATATAAAACAAGAATTGTATCATAACAATTATCTGATTACTAAACTCAATCAAAATTTTGTATATGAACGTAAAATTCAAATAAAATTATATACTTCATTTTACTGCATTTCTAGTATTATAAAATTAACTTCAATTACTAAAATTTTATATTTTTATTTGCTGCTACACATGTTAATCAATAAGGTATTGATTTTGCAAATAGAGACTACCTCAAATACCATATAACCATAACTTTGTTGTATTCTATTTCTGATATAAAGAGTAGAAAATATTAATATATATAGTAGAAAATAGTAAGCTTCACCTAGACAATAATATATCTTAAATATAGTATATAGATTATATAATATCATTTTATTGGTTAATATATAAACATATATAATAAATATATATATATCATAAAATAAAAGAATATATAAAAATGTTCATAAAAATATATATATAATCTAATTTTAAATTTATAAAATTATAATGGGAGAAAAATTTGCTTAACAATATTCATATTACATTTAAAAAATAAGATTCTTTTGAATAAAATTTCATTTAACTATGTTCTTTTAGTAGTTATAATATTCTAACTATTAAAAAACAAACATTCACTTGTGGTAGAGGTGGCAGGAATTAAAAGATATTTTTGAGCTAAATTAGAAAGAATAGGAAGTCTTGCTTTTTTATTATCTCACCAAGTAAAAAGATTAGCATTGTAGCTTATTTCTTTTGTCTTTAAGTATAAATCTACTTCATTATATTCTAATTGTTTTTGATTGCCAAACATAAGGTTAAGTAACTTATTATTTATATTAGTATCAGTTTGCTTACTATAAGTTTTGGCTTGATTAGTATATTTTTAAACTAAATCTTGTACTGTATCAATTGCTTGCTCTCATTCCTATTCATAAAATTTATCTATTCTTTTATATTAAGGATCTAAAAATGTTGCGATCAAAGAACTTTCTAAAGGTAATTTCTAATAATATTTTAATACTTTGTATAATATATTTTTTATCTTATAAACTAGTCTATTAGTTTCAACAAATTGATTTACTTTTACTTTTTTAGAATTTGCAGTAATTTCTACTTCGTCATTATAATCGTAATCAATAACAATTTTTTCATTATCAAATATTGTAGTAATATCTTCAAAATTTATATTTTTAATTTCAACTTCAATTTGATCATTGTTATGGTCATTTAATCTAGGTTTACAATTTTGTAATAATACTCTAATTGTGGTAACATAAAGCTTATAGTAGAATAAGTACTATCTCCAAGTAAAGTAGTTGCTTCAGCAAAAGGAGTAAATAAATTTGTTAATTATTCTAATATTTTCTATTCATTATTGGATAGCATAATTGCATGAAGCTGTTTAGCATCCTTTTTGATATTATTATTAGACTCAGCATTCATCGTTGCTAACATTATGTTTAGTGCTTTTTGAAGTTGTAATAATCATTTCTATAATATATATAAAGAGTTTCATCTTGTGGAAACATCTGCAATCACTTAAATATAAATCTCTTTTTGTTTATTAATTTCATCTTCAGTTATTAGAAATATTTTTTGAGCTTCTGTTAAATGTTCTGTTTGCTTTGGTAATAATAAAAAATTAATTAATCTTTTTGTTCGAATAACTAACATCTTAGCAGATTTAAATCTTTTTCTAATTACCAATTGGAAAGTATATATGACACAAGGAATTCTATCTATATTGTTCATAAAATTAATAGCTTTGATTATATTTGCTATATTATCACCTGTTACATGATCAACTTTATTCTTTAATTCTCAATTTCTATAATTTTATTTAAAATAGTTACAATTATTTCAGAATCATAAGGATAAGAAACATAATGTATAGCTAAAGTAACTTCATTTAATTTAAACTCTGAATTAATAAAGTAGCAAATAATACCAAGAAAACTACTTCAAGATTGGGCTGTCCAAAGATCATATGTTAAATTGCATAAAATAAGTTTTTCAGCAAATAATGCTTTTAACTACTAGTTTAATAAAAAAAATGCTTGATGAATTAAAGTCTTAATATATTTATCAAATAGTAATTCATAGAATAGATCTAATAAATTTATTAATTTAATAAAAATACAACTTTTTAGTAGATTAAATAGTTGTGAATCTTCTATTATAGATTCTACTAATATCTGATTAATTGATTCCTTACAATTTGTATTATTCATTGTAGTTTTCTTGAATATAATATTAATTTTCAATTGTGAATCATTTACTTTTTTTTATAGCCAATTGTGGTTTTACAATTCCATGTGTAAGTAAATGGCTTACAAAATTTGTTGTTGATCCTTGAGTATAAATTTTGACTTCATATTTTTTAAATTTTTCTTTGTCTTCTTTTTTGCCAGGAATTAAAACTATGCATTTACAACTATCTTTTTTTATTCTTTAGTTGGTGGCTTTTGGTTAATGTGTTTCCATACCCAACTAGCATTTTTTTCATTTGTTATTCGATTTCTTGTTTAAAGAACTATCCATCATTTTAGGTTCATCTGTCTCTTCTTCACTTTTTTCAGTTTTATAAAAACTATCAAATAATTCTGTTAAATATTTATAATTACTATCTTCACTTTGATTTTTAGCTATAATTTCTAATTTGATATTTAAAAAATTATTGTTATCAATATGCATAAATTCTAGGTTATCTTTATTGCTTTCATTAGAATAATTGATCAACTGAGATATATTATCATCACTTTCATCTTAAGATATTAGTATTTTAGATATTTTATAAATTTAAATAATAATTTATTTTATATAAATATATTTACCCTGTGATAAATCTATTTACAATAAATAATAATTTTATTAAAAGCTCTAATGAACTTTGATTATGCTGATATCAAGTAATTTTTTACTTATATTTATATTTTATTATTTAGATACTATGTATATAATC